CATTTGGGAAGAGATATGAGAATGAAAGCTTCTAGATTCGATGGAAACGGCTTAATGCATTAAGTTGTTTGATTCCTGACCAACTCGGCAAGTTCAGTAGGAGAACTCGGCGAGTTGATGCGAATTTTCCCGATTTGTGCATTTAATTGTGGAACTCGACGAGTTGAAGGACAACTCGGCGAGTTGGTTCAACTCGGACTGATGACTTTTGACTTATAATTAAGGGAATTAGGGGCTTAGTATAAGGCCCGTATAGGGTTGGGCCCAATTTGGAAATTTGGGCCATTAGTGGGCTTTGATGGATCTTGTAGTTTCTGGCATTTTGGGCCATCAGGATACAAAGTGTTTGGACTAGAAAGAATGGTTGGGCCTTAAGGCAGGGCCATGTAAGGAGTTTGGGCCCAATTTGGAAAAATGGGCCATTGGTTGATTAGTGGGCCTTTGGGCCTTTCAGATGGTAGTTTGGGTCATGGGCTTGGTCAAGGCTAGGTTGGGGGTAAAATGGTCCTTTTACCCCAGATATGGAGTTGTGGTTATGGATTAGAGCCCAATTGTTAATTGGGTATATTATTGATTTTGCTAGTTCAGGAAGCAGTCAGGGCAGCAGCTAGGGATTCTTTCAGTAAGCTTCTACAGTGCGAGGTGAGTCTCCTCACTATATCCATGGGTCGAAAGCACTAATGTCGACCCATTATGTGTTATGTGGTATGATAGTTGTTCTGTGATATGTGGTATGCTAGTTGTCTCTGTGATACTTGCATGGAAGACCTCGGGGGGTGTCCGAGGCAGTTGGATATCATACCATAGGGGTTCCCATGGCATTCCAGGCAAAGACCATGGGGGAGCCCATGGCATTCCGGATAAAGACCATGCGGGGGAGCCCATGGCAATTATATGTATGTTGCATGATATTTTGTAGTTGTATGTTTATGGTATTTTAGGGAACTCACTAAGCTTTGTGCTTACGGTTTTCAGTTTATGTTTCGGGTACTCCAGTTTTCAAAAGAAAGAGTTCGGGACGATTGCAGGGCACACACCACACGTTTTCCGCATTCTGTGAATTACTCTGATTTGATGATGTTTTTGCTAACTCTTGGTTACCTAGGTTTCATGAGAAAGAAATGTATTAACGATTTATTAATCAAAAAGAAATATTTTTATATCATGAATTTTTAGGGCGTTACAACAAGAACAAACATGCAATCGTTTTTTGGGATTTTACAAAAATAAGAATTGATAATGTAGGTACGCTCTCCGCTATAAATACAACTAAACATGAACGCACCAACCATAGTCATTTTAAATCGAGAATGCATGATTCATAAAGTATTTCTTCATCTTAGCCATATAAAATGTTTAATGGTTTCTTAATGATAAATACACTAAAAACTCTAGGATTAAGCCTAGATTTCTTGTATGATTGAGTTCAAACACCAAAATTGATGCCAAGATGACACACACACTCATCTGATTTGGAACACGATTTCAAATTCATGAGTTTATGTATGTGTTAAAGAACAAACCTAAAATAGTTTTTAGGGCAGATTTTAGGGTTTCGTTTATAGTATTTCACAAGAACAAGAACAAACATGCAATTGTTTTTTGGGATTTTACAAAAATAAGAATGATAATGTATGTACCCTCTCCACTATAAATACAACTAAACATGAATGCACCAACCATAATCGTTTTAAATAGAGGTTGCATGATTTATATAGTATTTCTTCGTCTTCATCCTATGAAAATGTTTAATGGTTTCTTAATGATAAATATACAGTAACACCTACCATATGTTGGGGTTAGAAATTAATTGAAACTATTTTAAATTAATTAAAACTATTTTAACTGAAATTAATTTACACTGGCCATAAGGAATCATAAATATCAGGCAATTCTCACTCGCACTTCCTGAAGGTCCTTATGCATCTCTAAAGTGATGTTTGTTTTTTCTAAGGCAAAATGTCTGCAGCCTGCGGACCATATCTGCAATAGAAGAGGTGGACCAAACGTATACAGTCTGAAAGAATAAGACTGTTTTTTAACATCTACATGGTGTTAGAATAAACTAAAATCTAATTAAACTGAATTTTTAAAAAAAAACTTAAAAGATTTTTTTTTTGATATTTTTATAACTTTATTATAGATAATTAACAAATGTAGATTAACTTTTATGCATTATTGTACAAAAAGTGAAAATAAAATGGTAAGAATTATCGTATATATTTAATAAAAAATCAACAAACTTTGGTCGTAAAGTTATACCTAAACATTGTAATTAGGGATAAAATAATTTAACACATAACATGAATGGAAATAAACTTTGATTTTAAATGAAAATTTTCAAATTTTTGATTTTATTTTTTCAATTAAATCAATTAAAAACTGATCATAAATGTTTTTTCCAAGAAATGAACGATGTTGTATCAAATAATGGTTTATAAAATTTGGCACAAAAAAATGTAAGACAATATTATGATTTTTTTTGCATATCTATATAAAAAACTCCACAAATTATTATTGTAATTAAATATTTATTTATAAATTTGTCATAAAGGTCACGATTGTGTCATCGAACCTTTTTTTTTCTTTAAGTATTGTAACCTTTTTTCCAATTTATTTACCATATATAAAATTGGAATAAATCTAAGTTTTAAGAAAAAAAATAAGGAAAAACAACAAAAGAATATGTGTTTTTTAGGTTTTTAGGTTAGAAGATGTCTGAAGAGGTTTGAAGACTCTGGTCCACATCTGCGCCAAGAAGAGGACGCGCAGACATTTTTTGGTCTGCAGTCTTCAAAAAAACAAACAGTATGCGAAGCCTAATGTCTGCGCGTGGTCTGGGCGGCACAGACAGAGGAGGCCAAGAAGATCTACAGAAAAAAAAAAAACAACACCTAAGAGTTCACATCTCAGGCATAAAAAAGCATCTCTCCCTAACAGACATTCTAGCATGCAACCATGAGCAGATCCTTAATCTAACTTCTAGCATGCATATTATACTATAATACATATAACATATCAACATGTATGAGTATTTTAGGAATCACTTATTTTAGCTCGACTGATTGCATGCATCACATCCCCTTTTCTTTATAAAAAAACCTTTTTTAAAAAATCATTTTCATTTTTTTAAAAGATTTTATAAATCCTCAGTTTGAGTTCAGACACACCAGAAAGTGTGTCTGGATCTCTCAAAACCAAGGCTCTGATACCAACTTGTAACATCTTAATTTTCAAACCAACATCTAGATAAAACCATTTGATTCAAAACATTTATCGGAGTATCGTCATGAAGTTATTGAGTCGTGTCCTTTTAATATAAGAAAACCTGAAAACAATTAAAACATAAACCGTAAGCATAAAGCTTAGTGAGTCACCCAAAATATCACATACCATACATATCAATGGGTCCCACTGTAGGGGTATATTTCAACCCACGTACATGTTATTATCCCACCATAGTCTTACAAGCACTTCCCTTGCTATAGCCCCACTGCAGTCTCCTTTGTCATTGTCTTACATATAGGTGTTGTGATCCCACAACAATCTTTCATACAAGTGTTGTGATCCCACCACAGTCTTTCATGCAAAAAAATCACAAAGATAGTCTAGCATACAGTGACACCCTGTGTCCTAAATAGTATAGCGATAAGACTCACCTCACACACGCAATCAGACAATCACAACTCAAAGTTGATAGACTTATGCTACAACCCACGTATCGAGATATCCAAGATCAAAGCTTAGTCTACATTCCAAAACTAGCATCTTGACCAAAAGTCAACGGTCAAAGTCAACGTTAGTTGTTCTCCATGTCGTGGCCTATCCATGGCCACATCTTGGCAATATCAAGATAGAACAATCGTCGATCAATTCCTTCCCCACGTCATGGTCATTGTCTGAGGACAACTTAATGGTTTAAGCTCTCAATCCCTTAAGCCCTAAACTCATATTTTCAAGAATGCTTCTTGGGACCCTAAAGGTCCATAAAAATCCAAATTTTATGGACATGCATGTCCAATGCATGTCTTTCTGTCATCTAGCTCAAAAATGGAGATTAAATAACCTAAAACTCATGTAAGACTTTCCAAAACTCATACAACTTCTAGATCCAAAAGATATGGTGACCAAGGGACCAAGATAAGCTATAAAGTTGCAAACTTTATCTCATCTAACAAACTCGATTATAAGCCAAGACATGCAATAAAACCTAGATCTATAATGAGAGAACCAAAACGGTGGAAGCTTTATACCTTCCCAAGCTCCACAAGAAGATACGAGATCTAAAGTGATACACTCTTTCAACTAACAAACACAGGTTCAACTTCTTCCCAAAATGCAAACTAAAGCTTCAAACCTCAAGAACACCAAGAATACGATAAGAATCACTCAAAGAAGGCTAGGGTTTCATTTTTGGAAGGTTTAAGAGGATGCCCTAAACTTTGAGTTAGAGGCTTTAAATACAGAAGAAACCCTAAGAACTGTGGGCTTGCGCTTCAGCACTCGCCAGTCGCCACGTTGTGGCGTCCATCAGGACCCACGATCAACTAAGTCTCACGCCACGTCGTGGTCACCAACCTACTATGACGTGGCATATTGTTTCCCCCAAAAAACATACTTTTGACTCTTTCAGGTAATCGAGTGATCCATTGTAGAAAACAGGTATTACATGAATGTTACAAACCTCATACTCATTTTACTTTCATACATTAAACTTTTGGGACCGTACTTTCCACAAATTAAATATATTTTGAAATGGAATGATTTAAAGCTATTTTTAAACTAGCCTGTGCAAAAAGTGTTTCATATACTCATATACAAATATAATGAATTTTAAAAATAAATAAATAAATAAATAAAAAGCAGCAAACAAGCATTCTTTCAGGAAAATGTAAAAATAAAGCATAATAATGAAAGATACCGTTGGTATTGATTTAATTAAGTGGCAACAAAAGGCCCAAAAACAAAATACTGAAATCAACCAGCAACTCCCTAACTCAAGGATGCTTATACGATATCAGATTCAATGTTTGTTTACATGAATTGTGGGTGTGGCCTAATCAATTTTTGCGACCAGTTTTTTTAATGGCGGCTATTACATTTAATATTTTTATAGCCACTCATATCATATATAATATATTAGTTAAGTACTACAAAATCATGAATTTTGTTTTGTTTTGTTTTTTTTTTCCGCAAAAATACTATCAACAACACTTAGTGCCTTGCTTTTTTAAAACAAGCGCTGGCGACAATCTGGTGCACCACAATAGCAGGCAAGTTTCTTTACCTTCCCATCCGGACCCATCACGCTGTCCAATTCATATCCATAGTCATATGTCAACTCCTACAAACCAAAAACCAACAAAAAATATGATTAAAACATAACTAAATGTGATCATTATCGTAACTAACAAAAAAGGTAAAATAATCATAGTATATAGTGAATGATTGATTATAGGCAAAACAAAATAAGTAAAGTGTCGAGCTCATAGTATACGACTTCTCTGAAACAAAAATATTTGAAGATAGTTATAGTGTTTTAAGCATAGTCACATAGTTCACGGTACGTTCCGGTACGGGAACAAGGATCGGGAACGCGATTCGTTAGGTTAGACGTATCGGGTGCAGTGTACTTAATAAGCCGGTACATGTACCCAGTTGAAAATAGAATTCTGGTGCACTAAGAAAAAAACATAAACATACTATATTAAAAAACAATTGAAAACAGAATTCGAGAATTTGTCATAAACCTAAATCTTATGTTAAAACATACTACCTCAGTCCCAAATTAATTGTCCACATTTGATTTTTGAAGTCTTTATTTTTCAACTTTGACTTTAAATATTTTTTTTTTTGATAGATAATACTTGATGCAAAATATATGAATGGATTATATTTTAAATGTCTTTTCGATGTTATAAGTTTCATCAACTCAACTAATATATAACACAAATAAAAATATTTAAGGTCAGATTTGAAGAAAAAAAACTTCAAAAGTCAAATATGGACAATTAATTTGGGACGAAAGGAGTAAAAAATAGAATTCCAACTTCCAAGCACTTAGAAAAACAGAAACAGATGACATCAACCATAGAAGCTAAACAAAATCATTATCCTTGCCAAGATCAACAAAGTTTTTAGGGGCTTCTGTTTCACTGTCTTCTGGACGAGTAAAAATTTTGCCAAAAACCATTTCAAAGAAGAAACGAAATATTGAATAGTATAAGAAGAAATACTGAATAGTATAAGAAAAGGAAGATTGAATACAGAGTATTGGAAGAATATAGGGGAAAGCAGAAATCGATTATGATGTTGGTGAAATTGAGTAGCACCATATGTAATAAATTGAATCGATGGATGTTGGAGGAATCAGATGTGGGAGTTGAAGGCATCAGACCTGGAATCAATGGACTTTAATCAAGCATCAACATGTTTTTCACAGGAAAACTATTTCCCGCCAAAACACCAAAATGGGCTTTCCAGACACAAAATTGGCGATCCCAATCGCGTTTCTGTGCAATCAAATTCGCCAAAATCACGTTCCCAGGAGTGAATCGGAAAATAAAAGGGATCGCAAGAAAGCCGTACCAAAGAGCGTTTCGGTCGGCACCGCGTTTGGGAACGGGGCGTTTGGAACGTGGATCGTGGCTATATTAGCGATCCCTGTGAGTGTTAATATGATCGGAGATAGGTAGGAGTGAGCATTTGGGCAGAACCGGTTTGACAGAAATGTATGGACCAAGGACAAGGGAGAGGACCTATGGAGGCATACCAGTTCCGGTGTCAGCTCCGGGTTTTCCGGTTCGTTGAAAAAGTTTCAGCTTTAATACCCCAACTTTAAACTACATGCCGGAAAAGATCTCATGTAAATCTGACTTCAAACAAAACAAATGAGATATGCATATTTTAAAATTTTCACAAATTACAAATAATGTCCGGTCCAAGCAAACCCAGGAACCGGTTGCTGGTCTTGTAGACTCGGTCGAAATGCTTACAACTATATACGAGTTTATTATGGTAAGACTTTGAAGTTAGGGTTAGAATTGATAAAATAAGAAATTTATGCTATTATTTTAAGAATATTAACCAAAACAATTACATTTTAAGTTAATATTAAAGAAAATAACTCAAAAATATGCTTTTCTAAAAAATGATCAGACATTTCCGGAATTGATCAATTCCGAAATACTGTCACTATCAAAAGTTGTAGTATGTTCTCGACAACAACATATATTTCGGATTGACATTTCAGAATCCGGACCAAAATTCAAGATTTCAAAAAAAATGTTATGGAATTTCAAAAACAAGTCCGAATCCCATGAACAACTCCGAAAATTAAGTGCTATGATTTTTACTACAATCAAGCAAAAAGCTAAAAAAAACATAGCAAATGAAAAGTGTACACGACACAAAGACTTGAAATAAGAAATTTATGTTATTAATTTTGAGGATATTAACTAAACTGACTATATGTAAAGTTAATATTAAAGAAAATAACCCAAAACAAGTTCTATGAAATAATAACCAACAATTCGAGAACGAGTCATTCCGAACCACTTTAGGTCACCATCAAAAAGTGCTCTTACAAAAAAGTAACCAAAATTCAGGATCTCGGAAGAAAAAAAAACAAGTCTGAAACAAACATAGCAAATCAAAAGTATATAAAGGCTTAAAAAAAACATCTTATTGGGAAGGGAAAAAAGCATGGATATTAGTCGAAATAAACATTTTAGACATGGGTTGAGTGAGTTTTTTGAAAAGTTTTTTGTGCAAATGAGAAAAAACAATTAGGACAAAGTGCCTATTTTTACAAAACACAAAAAATTTAGTTATTTTTATGAAACACTTTGTTTATAACAGTTAGTTTAATCAATATAAATATTTTGACAGTATGACCACTTTACAATATTAACCTTCGACGAGTATATATGGAAACCGATTTTGATAAATCTTACGACGCTGGTTTTGACTAATAGAAAAACGATATTAGATTTCATCCGGTGGCCATGGGTTGTTCTTTCTTCATCCAACGTAGGAGACAATTTTTTCTTTTTGCAATAACATTCTTTTATTTATGTGCTTTAAAAAATATATCATTTTTTTAGAGTTTCATTACTTTAGAAAAATTACAATTTTGTTTATAAAAGTAACTAGAAGTAGTTGTTGTCTATAGTATTTGTCTTAATTGAGCTTTTATTAAGTTTACAATTAAAGTCCATTAAATATAATTATAATAATATGTAGAGTATCATAAAAATTAAAAATATATATGAAATTCCATTCCATTCCAATAGGCCAACACAACATTATCATATAGGATGTCATCATTCCACTCCGTCCAACAAAACATACCATTACAGATATCGAACGACTTTGTAGCAACAAGTTTGCACCACGATAAATGCTTTTAGGTGTTAATATTGTGTTCAATTATTATTTTTTTTACTTAAAGAGCTAAATAGGGTTAAGTACTTAACATAGACTTTCTTTTTTACTTAAAATATGGATTAAATGACTTAATGATTTATGTCAAAAAACGTGGCGTAATGTGTGTTTGTTACATGGCTTTCCAAGGCTATTCTGGATGAGAAAGGGCATTCACATCTTCTCAACAAATGAAAAATCCAAGTGAGTCATGGTTCTATCTTCAACGGGACAAATAAAAAAATACAACTTTTAACCTATTGACATCCAATCTAATGTATGCCAAAAACAATTCAATTCGTAGAGGGCTTAGTGAAAATGATTATGAAATTGTAATTAGTGACAAAAAATAAAATAATGACAACCACGAAAATATGTACGAGATGAGGAGAGGAGAAAAAGAGAAGAAAAAAAACCTTGAGTGGTGGTATATTGTCAGCAGCAAAGAGGATGACACGTGCCTGTGTGATATCATGATGAACACTCAACACACACTGCACAAATAAATTTGGCTGACAGCTGTGATTTATAAAACGTGCCACGTTTCCAGTGGACCCCGCATCAATACAAAACTCTGGGCCGCTGTCTTTATCATCGTCATCTTTATCCAGTAACGATGGCATCGCTACTTCTCCAACTCGCCTCTACGAAAATAAAATACAGAAAAAAATTTAGTAAATATTAATAAAATAAAAAAAATATATATTTTTTAAAAAATAGTACCTCCCTTCTGCCAATGCCCTTCATTGTCTGAAGGCAGTCGATGTCAAAGATGTAGTTGTTTTCTGGGTTAGAGTCAACATCATCTGTCTTTTTGAGAATTCCAATGTACTCACAAACAAGTGCCCCTGAGGGTATGTAGTCCCAAGATCGAACCGCCCACCCCTTTTTTTGGAGTCCGGAATACCTATAATATCATATCACAATAAATACCTTTTAGTTCAAAAAATGGTATACCTAGATATGCAAATAAAAGGGGAGTTAACATGTCAAGACTTGGATTAAGGGGTCTTTAGGCCTTTTCCCTTGTTATGTTAGTGATTAGGTTTGTATAAATAACTAGGATTTTACTTGTCCCGGCAACAGCAACAGAATTAAGTAGAAGAACTCTTTCAGTAACAATATAAGTGTAGGAGGACTTTAGTTGCCAAACCACAAAAAGCCAGGGACCATATTCATGCATAGAAACTTAGGAGGACTTAAGTTGCCAAAGCACAAAAGTTAAGGCCCACAACCATCCCGAGAAAAATGCTTAAAAACAAGCACGAAAACGTAAAAATATTACACCAAAATGTAGATAAAGATGGTGGATAGGAAATCAAATTATATATTTAGTAAGGGGGATGAACTCTTTCAAAGCCAAGGGGGTGAAAGTGATATTTTATAAAGTTGAGGGGTGGTAGCTACTAAAAAATCAGATTATATATACTACAGGGGTAAACACGACAGTTTAGCAAAAAGGCAGGGGTGGAAGTGACAATTTAGAAAGTTTTTCAAAGTTGAAGAGGTATAAAAGTAATTTTGAAATGTAGAGGGTATAAGGTGTCTTTTTACAAACTAAAAGGAAAAAATGATAGAAATAAAAGGTAAAAGGACTAAATAGTATAATTGATTGTTTTGAGTGTTAGAACTATGTTCTTGGGAGAGAACTAAGCCTCTCGAAAGCTAGGGTTCCTTTGTAATCATTCCTTTTCTAGTTCATTACAATCTATTCCATTCCATTATATTCTTGATTCCATTCTGTCCTATGCTAAATCATATCTAGACTGTTACCAAAAAAAAAAAGATGTTTTTTGAAAACATTTGTCAAAGTACATTGCTGTTTTTTGAAACATAATTTAGATGAAAAAAGGCTAGAAGATTGAACCTCAAGTCGGTATCTCAACCCCTTTTGAGATGTTCGGTTCACACAACCCGACCCACAGCCACAATTTGGTCCACATTCAAATACAACAGCCTTGGGTTCGATTAGCCTGGATAGATAATGATTCATAATTAGATAAGAACATGCAAACTTATTTTTTTTTTTTAAATAGCAACATACTTTCCTCTTCCTATCAGTATAGGCAATGTACTTTTAACACATAATAGCAACATACTTGAATTTCTTATCCGTAATAGCGATTTACTACTTTATTTTTAACACTAATATTTCGCAACCAATATGGGAAATAAACATATTGCTATTATGGGTAAAAGATATATATGTCTATATTGGTGAAATAAAAGAGTAAAATATGTTGCTATTTCCTAGAATTTGGTGATTAGAGAATTATGTTTTTCACCTGCCACCATCACGATGTACATAAGGGAAATCAGAGCCATTAAGCCGAGCACAAGCACAATTTCTTGGGTCAACACAACTACCCTTACAATTGCATCCAGAGGCACTACCAGAGACCACAACATTCTTTGAAACTTTAATAGACTTGATATACTTGTAACCTGCCATGTCATCACATTCACATTGCATAAAGAGAATTAATAACACATCATAATAATCATAGATCATGGAACATGGATGTATTTTAATTTAATAAAAGAAAATTTGAGACAATCTAAGTAACATGCCAGTTGGGGGAACAGGTGGATCATCAACCAGATTGGTTGCTGGAATGGGAATATTCTCAAGGCCTCCACTGATGTCTTCACATACCATCCTAACATTAAAAACAACAAATTATCCATGTCAGCACACACTCTCTCAGAGTATTGAATTTGAATTTTGTTTTTCGTATTTCTTAGTACCCGCGTAGTTCAGACATCGAATTTGGAATTCGCCCTTTATGAAAATAAACCTGAAACAAAAAACATAGAGAAAGCATTAAAGAATATAGAATTGGAAACAATAAATAAAAAGATATAAATACATTTCTGTACATATATAATATATTATATAACCTGTTCAGTCACCAAAGAAGGCTGCCCTTCCATTCGCTTGAGACGAAACTTGTAAACAGTGAAACCCGAAACCCCCTTTTCAGCCCAATATTTGACAACCTGAAAAAAAACAAGTATAATTTTAATGTTTATATAAAATTATTACCTATTTATTCTAAAGAAATTTACTCCCATAGTGTCTATTAATCTACCTTGTACAATCCATCATATGTGTAAACTTTGCCAACATAACTACTACTAGACTGATGCCCTCGGATAACTCTAACAGGCACATCTTGATCCATGCAATTCTACAAAACCACAAAAAAACATGAAGTCAAATATATATATATATATATATATATATATATATATATATATATAAGCATGAGTAAATAAATAAACAATCAAAACAAATTACATACTTTAACTAATATCAATATCACATTTCATAAGACAGTGAACAGGAATACAACCAAAGAAATGTAAATAATTTTTTAAAAAATACGATAAGTATTGAAATTAACGAATCCAAACAGCGAATAACATAATAATCTCTATAATAACTTTACTGATAGTTCTAGTTTTACTTGAACATTAAAACTGAATAATGTAAATAAGATATGTGATATTGAAATTATTATGTAAAACTATAACTATCAGTAAAGTTATTACAGAAATTATTATGTTATTCTCATTTAGGGATGAGCATTGGAACCGAACCAGAATCAGATTTGACAGATTACATAAACCGAAAACCGGACCGCTAGTACCGGTTTTTCAGTTATTTTTTCAGAACAGAACCAATTTTTGTGATTTGCACCAACAACAGAACCAAAATGAGTCATTTTACAGTCTAAAATCAAGTACAAACACAAAATTACATGCTAGAAAAAAATCAAGTAATTTTGTCTTCATATGAGTGAGTTAAACGTATTTTAAAAAGCAAGACATTATTAAAAAATAAAAGTGTTGAAACAGAAAAAACACAGTGGTGATGTGCCGTCTTTCAGGGCCTATACCTAATTCAATATCTAACTAAAGCATGTCTTTTTACAGTCTAAAATTAAGTACAAACACCAAATTACATGCTGGAAAAAAAATTAAGTAATTCCGATTTCATATGAGTGAGTTATGTATTTATGCTTATTTTAAAAAGCGGGACAGATTTTTTTTTAAATGCTAAAACAGAAAAAAACGCAGCATTGATATACTTATATTTGATTTAATTAATATTTAACCAAAAATGTCTTTTTATAGTCTAAAATCATGTACAAAAACTAAATTACATTCTGGAAAAAAAATCAAGTAATTCCATCTTCAAATGACTAAGTTATGTGTACTTATACATGTTTTAAAAAGCGGGACAGATTTTAACCAAAAAATGTCTTTTTATAGTCTAAACTCAGTACAAAAAGCAAATTACATGCTGGAAATAAAAAATTAAAAAACAAGTAATTCCAACATCATATGAGTAGGGGTGTAAACGAGACGAGACAGCTCACAAGAAACTCAAGTCCGACTCGGAAAATACTCGAAATCGACTCGACGTTAATCGAGTCGAGCTCGAGCTACTTGTGTACCTTATTGAGCCAAGCTCGAGTCATAAAATACCCATCTCATAAAGTTCGTGAGCTTAATCGAGTATTTATAAAATTACATTTATACCCTTTATGCATTTCAAAACTTTTGAGAATGTTTCTTTTTAGTATTCTAGATGTATGTAAAATGCAATGACATAGATGGTTGATAATATACAGACATTAGATGGTTTATTGTGAATTTTCTGTTATTTTGAACAACGTAAAAGCATGTGGATTGTTTTTTATATTTGATGATTTTAACTTTTTTTTTAATTTTAGTCGATCCAAACTAAGCTCGATAGTACAGAGTACAAGAGTTAAGTCTAAGCTTCAAATTTAGGCTCGAGGCGAGTTCGAGTTGAGTTTCAAGCTCAAGTATTATAGACGAGTCGAGCTTTGAGCTTAGCACTACTCGGCTCAACTTGACTAGTTTACACCCCTACATATGAGTAAGTATGTACTTATGTGTATTTTAAATAGCGGGACACGCTAATTAGGAAAAAAAAGAGCATCGATATGTTGTCTTTCAGGGCCTATATTTGATTTAATATTTAACCAAAATATGTCTTTTTATAATCTAAAATCAAGTACAAACACCAAATTACATGCTGGAAAAAAAAAACAAGTAATTTCAACTTCATATGAGTGAGTTATGATTTATGCGTATTTTAAAAACAAGACAAATTTAAAAAAAATGCTAAAAAAACACAACATTGATATGTTGTCTTTCGAGGCCTATATCTGATTCAATATTTAACCAAATAATTTCTTTTTGTAGTCTAAAATCAATTACAAACACCAAATTACATGTTAGGAAAAAAACAAGTAATTCCAACTTCATATGAGTGAGTTATGATTTATGCGTATTTTAAAAAGCATGACAAATTTTTAAAAAAAATGCTAAAAAAACGTAGCATTGATATGTTGTCTTCCAAGGCCTATATCTGATTCAATATTTAACCAAAATATGTCTTTTTATAATCTAACATCAAGTACAAACATCAAATTACATGCTGGAAAAAATCAAGTAATTATGATTTCATATGAGTGAGTTATGGGTATTTTAAAAAGAAGAACAGAATTAAAAAAAATAAATAAATAAATAACAAAACAAAACAATAAACAAAAAAAATTGTGTTGAAAAATGAAGAAAAAAAAGTAATAGAATTCCGTATTGTGAGGGACCGAACAAGAGTGTTAGAACCGGGACCGAATTTTCATATAGTGAGGAACCGATAACTGAGCCTTTTTAGTAAATACGGTAAATTCCAGTTCTAAAGATCATCCCTAGTTACATTATCTTGTACTAACAGCTTCTCCAACCACGTAACACCAAAATAGTAATTGTTTAACACAAAAATGGTGATTCAACTCCAGTGGTCCAACCAACCTCTAAAATGGTGTTTTTTAGAGGCCTCTATATTTGGCCTTCATATTTGGTGTTAAAAGGAAGCCAAACACAAAAATTGTGTTAAATTTGAAGGTTGGTTGGAGGATTCTTGGCCTCTAAAACACAAAAATGGTGATAAATAGAGGATGGTTGGAGTTGTTCTACGGTGTTATATGAATGCTATAAACACCAAATTGTATCACGAAATATTGTCTACTCATGTTTTGTCTACCAATGAAACATGACCGGGAGATATAACAATATTTACCTTAAGTCCTAGGTTACCACGTGCCATTACTTGATCACTTATTTGGCGTTTATTACCAAGTAAATTATTACCACCTTGACCAGTGTAAACAACATCTTCTGAGTTATCAAGATCATCCTCATATTGTCCCGACAACACTATGGCCACAGTGATTGGTAACTCATATTGTGGATACTCCTACAAAAGCATATCATGTAAAACTTAAGTTTACTTTAAGACTACAAATGGTAAAATGCAAATATATTACCTTTTTTGAACTTATCCCAATATAATCAATCCCACAGAGCCAATGGTTGTGGAACCCTACAGTAACCATCTCACACCGCGAAAAAAATTGATGTCCAACATCAACCCCTAAAAAGATATAGCAATTCAGAATTCTTGATTAAAAACAAAAATTGAAAAGCACATCCTACATGTATATTCAAGCAAACTAGTGAAATTTTAGACCTCTATGTAAATAAAAATAATTACCAACCTGGGATTGATCCTATCCTCTTAAGGGGACGTAGTATGGTGTTCGAATCCATCATCTGCACATTTGTGTTGTCAAAACAATGTGACCACAAGCTTAGATTCAATTTCTTTGCAACATGGACAAATGATATTTTGTATGGGATTGATCCTATCCTTTTTGCCTTTTAGTAGATATGATGAAAAGAGTGACTTGCCTTTGTTATAGCTTTCAGATCAGGTCGTTTGGCTTTACCTTTTTCTCCAACAGCATCCTGATTCAGCACAGGTTTATACATCATATTGAAATGTTAGTGTCAGCTACAAACACTTGCTTTCAAGATGCTTTAAGGGCAATTTGAAACAAAAAGTAATATTCATTACATATTGTTAATGTAATGGGATTCTGAACCAACTAGTAAACACTTGCACAAGTTTGGGGAGTTCTAGTTTAATGGAAAGCAAACTGTATGCTAACCTTAGATTTTAGTTTCTTTGTTTTTTTCTGATCAGCTTCATCCTTTTTGCACCTGGTTTCCTCTTCCTGTAGACAAGTGCATAGAACCAACATCAACTATCAACTTGTACAAGTATGTATAGAATCATGCATTAGAAGCTTGTGCAGGCCGGCAATTAAAAAAATAACAAAATGGTTTTCCTGTGAATAATCAGTAATTTTACTTATTTTCGTTCGGTTTAAACATTGCCAGCGTATTTGATAATTCGTTCTGTTTTTTTTATCTTTGTCTAATTTTTGAGTCAGAAACAGCACTCGTTGATGTTGGATTTCCTAAATACCTGAACGAAATGAAGGTAGTGCTTGTTAAAAGCTCTGATTGTATCTGTAACCATAGCGTAAGCACTCTTCTCTCCAACTTGTCCCTTGCATGCCGAACCATTTTCAATCTCCTCTCTCTTTTCCTCACCATTTGGTTTTTCTTTGTGCTCTGTATTCCCGTCTGAGTTTGATGTTACAACGGTTCGTTTTCCCTCATCATGTACCACTTGAGTCTGCACATTACCCGATATAACTTTTTTCTTGTTGTAGTTTAATCGCTGCTTCTTCGTCGGTTTCTCTGTCTTAGTAAGAGACTCCTCTTCCTGTTGGCGAAGTCGAACAGCAGCCTTGTTTTTCTCGTTCTTCTGAATCCGAGCACTTATCCTCCTAGCAGGAGAGCAAGTGTGTGTAGCTTGAGAATCCACTCCCCCGCAGCGTTGGATTGTAGGTGCATTCTCCGCAACGGCGTCATTTTCCTCGGCTTTGAGGGATTGACCCGCCATTGTGCAACTCTAATTTGGCTACTCTGAAATGAGTGACGAAGAAAAAGGAATAAGCGAAAGGATAAACGAAATGTGTACGCGATCGAGTCAAAATTCGATCGAGATGATGGTACTAATGGTATCAGAGAGGAGATGGAGATTAGGGTTTTGACAAGTGGGTGAAATGAGAGAGCGGTAAAGGGAGAAGAGGGGCGCGAGTGGGAGCATATGAAAATGGCGAAATACCGTCCAGCTGTCGGAAGCTCTTCCGACTTTTTAAATTCTTTATAAAGTAAGTTAAATGTTTGGTGCTTGTATTTTTATGAAAGTATTATCTTTAGTCCTATAGATTTATTTCTTGCAATCTTGGTTCCTATTTTTTTTTAGGTGTTGTTTGTTTTTCTGAAGCCAAAATGTATGCGGTCTGCGGACCACATCTGTAAGCCTCTGCAGCAGAAGAGGTGGACCAAATGTCTGCAGTCTGCAATAAGAAGACTGTTTGTTTTTTAACGTTTGCAAGCTGCTGAAATAAACTGAATTTTAAATTAAATTATTTGACAAACTTAAAATGATTTTTCAACACCAAAATTTTAATAATAATAGTCTTATAACATTGAAAATAAAATTCATGCAACTAAATTAGTCATACAATAAAAAAAAATTGTTTTACAATAACAATTTTATTTAAAACAATTTAATCTATATTGTGCATCAACTGATCAGCAATTTCATCCTGTAACTGAGTCATATATTCACGGTCTGCTGCAGTACCATGTGTTGGAATCTCGTCTTCATCATCATCAATGGCCACATTGTTATTTCGAAACGAGACATTGGGTTCATCGTATCGTGCGAAATACTCATCACTCAGTCATTCTCTCCTTATAAAATTATGAAGCGCGAAACATGTTATGGCAATGTTTCTTTGTGTCACAAACGGGAATGGTGCCATCCTCTTCAATATAGGGAAGCGTGCTTTCAAAACACCAAAAGCACGCTCAATGACATTCCGAAGTTTTGCATGTCCATGGTTAAATTTTTCTTTATTGGTCAATGCACGTCTTTGACGAAAATCTCCAAGTCAATACCTCACATTACGATAAGGGGCCATAAATCCTCGAGTGTGTGCATACGCGGCATCACAAAGATAATATTTGTTTGTAAAAAATGCAAAACACTAATCAATTTTCAAATTAAGATAAAAATATTTAAAAAAACAAAAACTTACCTGGTGGTGGAAACGAGAATGATGCTTGTGGATCGGCTACTGCTTCTGATAATATTCTAGAGTCATGCGCTGCCCCTTCCCACCCGGTCATAACAAATGTAAAAATCATATTGAAGTCACAAATTGCCAATACGTTTTGGTAGCAATCTCCCTTTCCCCTACTTCTATATAAGTCTTGTTTCTTAGCAGGGACAACAGCATGTATCAAAGTGTCATCAAGTGCACCAACCGCTCCTTTGAAAACCCTTCGTAGTCTCCTATTATGTCCTGGAATGTTTGGATTCGGATTAAAAGAAGTTGGTACTATAACATCTTGTGCGAAAAGCATCATTTTTTCCAACACTTCATAACAAAATTTATGAATTGTTTGATTCGAGTGTTGAAATCTCCGCTTGATAATCACGTAACGTTGATTATGGCCGATCATCATCAAAAACATAGCCATCTTTTCCTCAACCGATACATGTTTGCTGTCCTTTAATGAGTAATTTGCTCTAAAATGAGCACATAGTCGTACAAAAGAGTCACGGGACATGCGTAGTACTTCAACACATTGTAAACGATTACGATGTAATAACTCCAATGTGTATTCATGTCCCGTCATTTCCGAATCATTATCCCGTAATCGTTTCACACCCCTCTTCCAAAAATAACGGATGTATAGGTACATAAGAATTACGAGAAGTAACTTGTGATCGTGATCCATTATGAACCTAAAATCAACAAAGTAGAACTTTAAAAAACATTACATAAACCATATTTCAAGTAGCAAATAAACATTACATTAATCATATTTCAAGTAGCAAATAAACATTACATTAATCATATTTCAAGTACCAAAAAAACATTAGATAAACCATATTCCAAGTAGCATAATAACAAAAAATAGTTCCAACAAGGGAAAAAAGACCTAACAAAATAGTTCCAACAAAGGCAAAAACATCTAACAAAATAGTTCCAACAAAGGCAAAAAGACCTAACAAATAGTTTCAACACTAGAAAATCATCGGACAATCTTTTCATCCTTCAAAACTCCTAAACTTGTACCCGTCATCTCAAGCCATCCTCGTAATATCTCGGGAACATCGGGCAAATGCATCAACATCTCTCTCATGTTCATGGTCCCTCCAAAAATATGATATGCAACAAAGCGTAAAGGATCTGTAGGGCCTAACTGAAGCACCTCTAACTTCTCTAAACATTGAGGAACTATATACCCTTTAGTCAAACTTTGTAGAGTTTTTTTCATTTCAAATGCTAAATCGTCATCAGTAATAGAAGTTCCATCAGGTGAAGAAGCAGACGGTGAGGCACTATGAGCTACATGAGTTGGGGGTTTAGCCCTTTTGTTGGGGTTACCGGATGGTGAAGCAGTATATGGTGAAGCAGCAAAAGGTGAAGCTGTAGAAGGTGAAGCAGCAGAAGGTGGTGGCTCATGATGGGAAGTGTCATCACCATCATCATCTATTGCATGAAAAGGGGTGGCGGTGATCTGAAGTGGTGGAACACGACAGGAGGATGCTCCAGCTACTGATGATGATTGGGTTGAGTAACTCCTAAAATTACCGGTGGCACTATTTCCATCAAAAATACGTGCACAAAGATCTAGAAAAGGCAGTGGAATTGTTCTTAATGAAGCAGCCTTCGGATGCCCCTAAACCCAAATGTAACAAAAAATAGTATAAGAATATTTGGCAACTTCAAACGTAAATGTTATATATATATATATATATATATATATATATATATATTAATGTATATGTACCTTCTTAAAATCATCCCACTTCTCAGCTGTTAAATTAAAAGTGTTTGTTTGAGAATTGTATATATTACCAGTTGTGTTTTTTAAATATACCCATCCTATGTATTTGGCTTTCAGATTGTCATATGCGTTTTTCATTTGTTTTTAACTCAACTCAACCACAAATTTCTCCTTAAGAACTCTTCCAAGCCTTATCCATGAATCTTTCTGCAAACTCAATCATTTTCTACCAACACTCTCTACTTCTTCAATACAAGTATCCAATAAGCATTTTAAATGTTCATTGGTCCATTGTTGTTTTTCTCCCATTTATAATAACCAATATAACATAGACAAATAAGATTTCATAAGGTATTGTAGCATTCACAAATTGACAAATATGATTTCATAAGGTATTGCATATCATACACGTTCCAACAAAAAAAATAACGATTTGAGACAATAAAGAGTATTTTCAAAACCAAATAACAATAAACAGTCAACAACTAACATCATTATTTCACAACATTATTTCAAGAAAAAACTTGATTTCAGCACATTCTAGGCAAATTATATCATCCACGAATCGAAAAGGGCTACCTATTTAGGAAATTGAAAGGGTAAATAATTCCAATAAAATATTACATTAACGCAAACGGGCAAATTTGTAATTTTGTTTTATTTTCAATCATAATAATGTGAAATTTTTTATTCGGCTATAAATAACCTGAATTAGAGTGTTTTAATTCAAAGTTTTCTAAAAAACTTTATAAATCAAAATCATTAGTACCAACACACATCCAAACATCTCATGAGTTTTACATTTTACTTCTATCAAATAAACAAAACTTATGACTCGTTTTGATGCTTTCTATCATATATACACAATCAACAATCATATACATATACACTATCATATACATATACACAATCAACAATCATATACTCATACACAATCAACAAAAGAATATGTTATGTTTTGCTTGGCAGTTCTGTATATTGGCTTCCAATCAAAGAAAATTATAGATCCCAGGTGTGAGAAAACAAGAAGACAGCTTGCTGGGAATTTGTTTATAGGTAGTATTTTTCAATTTTATCAAGAATATATGATAAATTATACACCTCCAAGATCTGAATATGAAGGACTACCCAACAAAATTAATATTTTCGGGGAAACAAGGATGCGAATCAAACAAGAAATTGAATTGAAATTGAAATCGAAAGAGAGAGGAGGTGACGACAAACCTGTTCGCTCGTTGTTCGCTGCAATCGAAGATGTCGCCTGGACGTCTGGCCCATATATGTGTGGTGAAGACATCGCGCAGACGTTTTTATGTCTGCGCACTTCAGAAAAACAAACACACTGCAAACCTTTATGTCTGCGCGTGGTTTGTGCCTCGCAGACAGAATAGGCCACCGCATAACTGCAGAGAAAAAACAAACACCCTCTTAGTTTGGTTGAACCTTTGGTCCACTACCCTAACTTCCATTAAGGTTGGTTGTTTAAGACCCCTCATGCACCATACGCAAAGGTATTTTAGTATTTTTCACATAGCCCTTTTATCTTCTTCTAAATTTATACACAATCGTAAATTGGCAAAGTAACAAGAACACTTGGAAACACACGACACCAATAATATACATAAAACAACAAGAACAAACACAATGTAACTAACCATAAAGTAGGGAACTAAGCATAAACAAAGGTCCAATAATCTATAAACTACTAAATTGTCAATGAGAAACATATTTGTAATAAAATGCATATTTTTAGCTATACATGAACCTTTAATCTAGTATATATGAAGCATACATACTATAACGTCCCGGTTTTCAACCTAATTTTTTTCATTTTCATTTATTCAAATATATCATAGTGTAATTACTGTGGATTAAGTGTCTAAGCCCATAACTATAATTGGTATATACTTGAATTGATAGAAGCACGGTCCTTTTGGGTTGCTTTCACTCATGCAACTTGACAGAATGACTTTTGGAGAGAAGTTGAATTTATTATTTGGAATAATAAATTGATATATATGATTTATTAATATATTATGTAAATGATATATTAATTAGAAATCATAATTATTTAATTAATATTTAATCATAAATTAATTTGGAATTAATTTTTGGATTAAATGAATTAATTAAAAGTACAGGGGCTGTTTTGCAATTAACTGATAGTTGTGAAATATGGCTCTTGGACTCCTTAGATAGGAGTGGACGAAAATTATAGGGAGGCCCTATAAGTTTTCGTCAAAGGCTTCTGGATGAGGAGT